TAAAGGTCCCTTCCAACCTAAACCATTCTATATTAAACTGTGAGCCGTTTTTTGTGGACTCTTTTCCGGCAAACACTATAAAATTGTAATACCTGTACATCAACCTACTTAAAACTGATTCTCAAGTTGCCCTATAAAAACTGACTTGCCAAAGACAGTAGTGTCATCTACCAACAAGAAGAACATCTTGGAGTACCCACATAACCAATAAGAAAAACCTGCTTTCAGAACACTAAACACTGCTTTTCAGATCTCAGCAGAGAAAGCAAGAGGAACAGTCTCAAAGTCTTCTACTACTGAAAATTTCTAAAAACACACATACTGTCTCCCTCTGATAAGCAGGAATCACAGTCCACCATTCTATACAATCACTGTGTTAGAAACTGCATGAGCTGTCACAGTTGTTCCACAATAAGACTATGTTAAGGCACATCAGAGCTCCTGCAGGGGAATGGAGCACTACCAAAAAGCTTGTTTGTCTTCTACTTTTTATTTTCCTTAATGCAGGGAGGCCATCAATGCTGGAATAATCCCGTCTCCGTGGAGTCTACACCTAGCTACCTGTGGTTTCATCTAATGAGCTGATAATTTATCAACATCTCCACAAAGTAGCTTCTGAATAGGTAGAAAAATTTCCCCACACTGAGCTGCTGAAAAATTTAAATTGTACTTTTAGTCAGATCTGAGATTATCTATTAGAATTCCAGGCAAAATGACCCATTACTACTGCATTTCTGCAGCAATAAAGACACAATTATACTTGTCTGGCATATGGAATAAACAGATTTCTTTGTGTGGTCCTGGGCTGCTGCCACCCCACATCATTTTACAGTGAAGAATAAATTCATTCAGTACTGAAAGCACTAAGAGTAACAACGAAAACAATTGCTCTGAACAACTGTTTCTATACAAGAAAGTAATATTAGCATTAAAAGAAACCCACAGCCTAAAGGAACAGAAAACTTCTTTGAATTCTTTTAAGTTATCTGCCCAAAACTAAATTAACATATCATTTAAGAAAATTCAATTACCTAATTATGAAACGTACAAGCTTAAAGATATAATACTGCTTGAGGGCAGGGATTATCTAAAGCTGGCTCCAGGTAAAAGCCAACTATTCTGACATTGAAGGATTGAAAGAAAAAAAGGGAGCAGGAAGAAGAGAGAAATCCTCATGATTTCATCATGTGTTAAAGCATGTATTACGTAGATTTATGAAGCATCTGGAAATATTTCTTAAATTTAAACAGTGAAAACACAAAGCTTCCAGAAATAAAACAGAAAGTAGTGCTTTTTTTTTTTTTAATCTCAAAACCAAAATTTCTACTCTGATAGTTTTTCCTAAAAACTCCACCCCTCTCAGTATTTTTCCTCCTTCTGGCCTCACTAATAGATCAACTGTCTTTAAGGAGAGTAATCTTGATGAAGGAATACAGCTACTTGTATTTCCAAAATCATTTTAAAGAAAACAGACAATAGCAACACTTTTGTTGCTAAAAAGAATCATTGGTACTCTAAACACGACCTCTTCTTGAATACTCTGAGTCTGAAACCTCAAACCATATCATCACTAACCATGTGAGTTTGCAGTAATGTTACGAACTTTCCTTTTATGAAAGGAATTCCAAGCTTTTGGAAGTATGGAATTCCAATTCCATAATACTTTCGAAGGAGTAAATTACTGATTTTGATTCTCCTACCAAAAAGGCAATAGCATTTCACAGTACAAGCATCATTTACGGCAGAGAGACAAAGATACATTAAACTGCTGTCTTACCTTGAATTGACAATAATTTCACTGCCTTTTCCTGCAAGATTCAAAAACTGCATAGCACTGAAGTGATGCTTGAACAAGCCTAAGCTTTTCAGAGACAAAATCTAATTTAAATATTACTCAGTATCTTCAAAATTAATTAGCTTCTATTATCTGAATAAACAGATTAGGTAGCATTTTCATTTTTTTTTCTGAAAGTGAAAGATGTGCAATCCAAAATAGCAATAGAATAAACACTGCTAACAACATTAAATCATTAAGTCACACTTCGTCTATATACAGGCTCAGTGGCTTTCAACATACAAAATCTACTTAGAACTGAAGGTTATCATTAACCGAGAATAACTTCCCTGCTAATATCATCTCTTTTCCTATATGCACACAGAAGAATAGCAAAGCTGCCTCTTTCCTCTTAGATTTCCATGTTTTAAAGTCTGAAACTAAGCAGAGATGGTAACTGACTGTTCTAGGAAGGAATCACAGAACCACAGAATTGTAGGGGTTGGAAGGGACCTCCAGAGATCATCAAGACCAACCCCCCTGCCTACACCAGGTCGCACAGGTAGGCATCCAGGCAGGTCTTGAACATCTCCAGAGAAGGAGACTCCACCACCTCCCTGGGCAGCCTGTTCCAGTGCTCCGTCACCTCACTGTCAAGAAGTTCTTGCGCACATTTGTGCGGAACTTCCTATGCTGCAGTTTATGTCCGTTTCCCCTTGTCCTGTCTCCACTCACCACTGAAAAGAAACTGGCCTCACCATTCTGCCCCCCACACCTCAGATATTTATAACCCTGGATTAGATCCCCTCTCACACATCCTTCCTCAAGGCTAAATAGACCCAGTTCACTCAGCCTTTCCTCATAGGAGAGATGCTCCAGGCCCTTCACCATCTTTGTGGCCTCTGCTGGACTATCTCCAAGAGATCCCTGTCCTTTTTGTACTGAGGAGCCCAGAACTGGACGCAGTACTCCAGATGAGGCCTCACCAGGGCAGAGTAGAGGGTGAGGATCACCTCCCTCAACCTGCTGGCCACGCTCTTTTTAATGCACCCCAGGATGCCATTGGCCCTCTTGGCCACAAGGGCACACTGCTGGCTCATGGCCAACCTATCATCCACCAGGACACCCAGGTCCCTCTCTGCAGAGCTCCCCTCCAGCAGCTCATCTCCCAACCTGTACTGGTGCATGCAATTATTCCTCCCCATATGCAAGACTCTACACTTGGTTCTGTTAAACCTCATCCGATTTTTTTCTGCCCAGCTCTCCAGCCTGTCCAGGTCTCGCTGAATGGCAGCACGGCCTTCAGGCATGTCAGCCAATCCTCCCAACTTCGTATCATCAGCAAACTTGCTGAGGGTGGCCACTATCCCCTCATCAAGGTCATTGATGAAGATGTTGAACAAGACCGGACCCAGCACAGACCCCTGGGGGACACCGCTGGTTACAGGTCTCCAGCCAAACTCTGTACCACCAAGAAGACCCTCTGCGCTCTGCCAGTCAGCCAGTTCTCAACCCACCTCACTGTCCACTCATCTATCCCACACTTCCTCAGCTTTGTTATAAGGATGTCGTGGGAGACAGTATCAAATGCCTTTCTAAAATCAAGGTAGACTGTATCTACCAATCTCCCCCCATCCACCCAGCATGTGATAACATCATAGAAGGCCCCACCAGCTTGGTCAAGCACAACCTCCCCTTGGTAAACCCATGCTGACTACTCCTGATAACCTCCTTTTCTTCCAGTTGTCTGGAGATGACATCCAGCACAAGCTGTTCCATCACCCGTGCCTGGAAAGGGGTGAGGCTGACAGGCCTATAATTATCTGGGTCTTCCTTCCCACCCTTTTTGAAGATCGGAGTGACATTGGCTATCCTCCAGTCTTCAGGCACCTCCCCCATTCTCCAAGACCTCTCAAAGATGATGGAGAGCGGTTCGGCAATGACCTCCACCAGCTCCCTCAGCACACATGGATGCAGCTCATCAGGTCCCATGGATTTGTGGACCTTAGTGCTGTCTAGGCGCTCATGGACCACCTCTTCCCTGACTAAAGGGAAGTCTCCCACTCCCCAGACCCTCTCACTAACCTCCAGGGTATGGGAAACCTAAGGGAGAGAAATGGCTATGTAATGATCAATGCTTCCTGGCATTTAATTGATGAGAACTTTAATCCTGCTGTACTTAGTCATGTATAATTTTGCACAATATCTAGAGCAAGAGCTCTGTAAGAGACTGCATATGCAGAATTCTGTCACCACTAGTAGCTTGAGAATTTGCTTGGCGAAAAGTCAGGTAGCCACCAGAGTCATCACTCGTATATAATATGCCTTCTAGGATTTCAAACAGGTTAGACTATAGTGATACATGTTGCTAATTTAAATTAGTCATGTTCACTTACATATTCTTTTCTCATTGTTACATACTACACTGTAGAAGCAGAGGAAAAAATTCTCAAGTTTGCTGTGAAAACGATTACACTTCCTAAAAGACATACAATTTAAAATATATACAGAAAGAGACAGAATGTAAATAATTACACAGAATATTTTGACTGAATTTGCTCGCTGAACTCTTTTTTTCTCTATAAATATTTGTTTATATTTACTAAAGTAAAGCCAGCTAATAGCATGTTAATAGTAGGAATAAAGATTTCTGAAGAGCTTGATAAAGAACTTGCAAACTGGACAGGGGCTTAGAAAGATTAAACCAAAGGTTTCTATTTACCTGCCTGACTACAAAAACAGTGTCTCTAAAGTCAAATCAAATCATTCTCTCTGTAAGAGAGAAAAAGTATTTCTTATATTGAAAGAGAAAAATCAGCAGTTTGGTTATCTCCTATGACTGAAGACTGAAGGTACTTTCATGCTTAAGTTCTCATGATAGCAAATGTAACATTAAGATAGAAATATTCCACAGAGTTAAGTTTAATGATTGGCACCACTCAAAATATATTGTTCACCTTAGCTGAAGTGACATACAAGCTTTACAAAGCTATGTTAAATTTGTTTTCTTACTTGTTTAATTACCTGTAATATCTAAATGTTACTCTTAGTCAACTTAGGAGAACCAGTCAGATCTCTAGGCATATGAAAGAGGGGGTACATATGGGAAGGGAACCACGAGAAGACACTGGCAATGTATCCACAGTTTTAGCCTATTTTTTAAAGGAAAAAGTATATTAGTCTCAAAAATAGCTGCTAGAGCAAATGTTCTTCTGTCTCTTACTAGTTCGCATTTGAGACACGGCCTGACTGAAGAGTAAAGTCATGAACCTTGACGAGACAGCTCCTGCTCTGAATAAGAAAGCATGAACATCTCAAAGAAAGTCTGGGTTCATCTACTGAATGAAGCCAAGTACTTCCAATTGTAAATACAAACAGCAGCTGTTTTCCTAACCTCTACTTTCTTCAAACATACGCCTTGGTTTACATATAAACAATGTGACAGTTGCTTACTATTTTACAATCAAACCTGCACTGTTCCCCGAAGAAGGATATAGCGCTTGTTATGTAAGTCTGTGAAAATTAAAATACCATGTTTAGTACTTTACTTCAGTTGAATTACATGTCCCATGACTAATCCTTGGAGAGCAACTAATGAGAGGTGCAACATTAAGTTGGACAGAAATAAAGCAGTTTGCATTACTTAAAAACATAGCAAAAGCATCCTCCACCTTTGACTGCTCTCCCTAAAGCTACCACTCAACATTTTACATTAATATGGTAACTAATTCACTTTGAAGATGAACTTGATTTTCTCTGTCTTGTTGCCAAAGAAATTCAGTGACTATAAGTATTAATTATTGACTTCAGTAAACACAAAATCCACCTCTTGTACTTTGTTTTACTCTAAGTGTCCTGGTTAGCCTAACATGCCGCAGTTACAACTAAGTTAGAGTTTCATGGATTAATTCAGTGGTCTATTCTAACTACACGTGGAGGTGAGAATCAGCTTTCTGTGACATCAACAGAAGCCAAAGAAAAATGATGATCACTATTTCAATTTAATAGAAGTATTATGGGCCTTTCAACATTGGGCGATTTAAGAGCCCTTCATAAAGACTTCTAACATTGAGACAGTGTTATTAGATCATCTCTCCTGAGTTAGCTGGACATACTCGTAGGTCAGAAAACCTGGAAACGGAAGCCTGAAAGACTGACAGACTCAAGAAAAAGGGACTCATTTCATGGAAGAAAACTGGGAAATATGAAAAAAGGAAAAAAAACCACACAGTTTTCTTCCTCTAGAAGACAAAAGACAATGTGAGCATTCAAGGAAACAATTTCCTTAAAACATCCCATATTTCATTGCTTACAATGAAGCAATGAAAGCATTTTTGTTTTTATTAATTCATGAAACCTAAAAATAGAAGGTGCAGAAAATGAATAATGAAAGGTCACTTAATGTTTTTTCTTCTTTCTTTCTTTCTCTCTACCCACTACATCCTCCCGAAGTTCCTACCAGCAAACATTTAGATTTTTTACACTTGTGGGTAAAACTTGTTTATTAACAACTGACCTGATATGATTAATATTAAAGCAGCTGCTCATGAAGCTTTCCAGAATACAATCTTGATGTTTTATTTGGAAACACACTAAAAAGCCAATACACTGTCCAGACATGGATACCCTCTTGCACCTAATAAATGCAAACACAAAACACAGCTCACGCTTCTACTTCAATACCACTACAGACGTAACAGTTCTCTCCTCCATGAAGATAACAAGGTCTTTCAGACTATGCCTGCTACTTATTTTCGCTTTATTTTCACAGATACTATTCTAAGAGATTATTCGCAAATCAGCTCCCTCCTATCACCACTCCTCAATCCACTTTTATATAATCATACCAGATAAGGCTAACCATTTGTGTTACGACTAGTCAAAAGCATAGATATTGGCCTAACGTAGAACCACAAAATATTGATTTGCTTATCCTATGAGCTTACTGAGGAAGTGAAGCAAATGACACTCAAGAGCAGGACTGCAACCAAGAAGGACCCAGACAGGCTGGAGGAACAGATTAACAGAATTCTCATGAAACACCATCAGGACAAACTCTGAGACCTGCAGCCCCTTAGTCCTGTACAGGAAGCTGGGGCACTGGTGACATATAGCTGAGCTGGAGTCAACTGTGCACCTATATAGCAATGCCTGGAGTTGTTGGACCAGGACACAGCTCCAGAACCAGTGAGGGAGGGGCTGGGGGCTTTGCCCTGTGAGACAAAGCTATGGAGCAAGATTGATTCAGCCATGAGAATGGGTAGCTTCAAGGATACCCAGCAGCAGCCCCAGCACCAGGGAACGTAGGAGAGGCAGCCAGACTCTACACATAGTGTGAGGTGGGAAGGTGAGAGGCAGAAACACAAGCCGTGACACAAGAGGCTCAAGCTGAAGATGAGAAGCCTTTTGACAAACAGGAATCATAGGATTGCCTGGTCATGAAGCCAAGGCTCCAGACTGAGGGGTTTCACGCCCCAGCTGGCTGAAGAAGCCCTAAGCAGACCTGCTTGAACCTCAGCAGAGTGAGGACTGTTGATTCAGCCAGAATGAGTGGTTCTGCTATTGCATGAAACTTGGAGTGATTTTCAGCAACAGGCAAAACATTCCTGACATATTCCTGAAGTTCTAACCCTCTACACCTTACAAAAAGCCTAACTTCAGGATTTTTTGTACCCATTAATTCTACAAATATGTGAAGATTTAGTACATTTTCTGGCTCAGAGTATTCGTACATTATATAAATTCCAGTGTGTTTATTTATAATTACTTTCTAACTTGCTCTACTACTACTGAATTCATTTTGCATTATGTAGCATCTACCTTTTAAAAGAGAGACATTTTATGTTCTTTTTGCATAACTTTAACCACAACAACTCTGCTATACTTCATCTCTGGAGTGGCAAGCAAGTAATGCTTCATATTTAAGGCTTAAGTTCTGCTTTCATAGAAGTAAACATGAATCATTTCCTTGTTAATAGGTATCTACTACATTAATCATAAGAACACTTCACTTAGTTTCACTGCCTGGTCAACCTTTATTACAGTAATCATGCACCAGCAATGAGCAGCAACATCTTTGTGACTGTTTTTGACGTGGGTGCAGGACTCACCCCTCCTGCCTTTAGTAGCTTTCTTCTGAATTCTTCTGTCGGGTTGTTGAATGTGAGCTTTTCACAGCGGAGGTGATTTACAGGTGGATGGCCTTCAAGATGCAGGAATAAGTCATAGTCAAATCGAACTTTCTTAGGTTCTTCCTGAGGGTTGAAAATAACCAGATAAAAAGGTCTAACGCCAAAACTAAAATATGGGCTACATCAGTCTGTATATCAAAATTACATCATTTTTAACCATCCTCTGTGCTCTGAGATACATGATAGAATTTACCGAACATCAGCTGGACTACAGAAAATTAAAGAAGGTCCAATCAGCCCATCATGATACATGGGAATATGCATGAACTTCAAGCTGTCTTGACAAGGCTTCTTTGAAGGTGATGTCTGGCATAGGCTAAAGACATACACAAAGCCAAATATCACGATTCAGCTGACACAAGGTAACTCAGTCACCAACACAATCATTTCTGAGCTGTAGGTAATACAGAAGATGCTGCAGTAAATCGTTGGATACAATTTCCTCCACAAATTCAAAATAATTGTAAATAAGGGTAAGATTGAAACTGCTGCAGCAAAAAAATATTTGACTCCTAAGAAAGGTGTCTGTTTATTTATTAATGGAACTTCATTTCCTTGAACTGAATTGGGCAGCAAGATTTCAAGTATTCCACCACAGCTTCCAAGCATTTAAAATTCTTTGCCACTATAATGAAAAAAAGACAAATGTTCCCTGTACCAATGTGGAGAGAAAAAGAACAGGAAAGGCAAATTTATCTTGGACATAATCAGTGCTCTGCTATTCTAAGAAATCCTCAGCTGGAAAAGGACATTACTGTAACCATATAAATTTAAATTGCTAATACCAGAGACATTGAGTATGTTTTGTGCAACACATTTACACAAATGTGTTCTAGACACTGTATAAAACTTAAGTGCTCTTCTAAAGCAATAGCAAGAAGCCCTTTCTTCAAAGGTGCAGATGTACCAAAGAAGGCACCAAACCAATGACAGTCTTAAAGCAGAACACAAGTGAAAGGGCAAATCCTCTAGGAAAAAAAAAAAAAAAAAAAAAAAACACAAGGGAGGAGAAGGAAGAGATGCAGCAAAATTTCAGCCTATAAACAACAATGCATCTGATCTGTGTTCTGTTCAGTGACAGACATCCCCAGTGCTCAAAAAAACCCATCACATTAAAACGTTCAGCTTTGATTCAGGACACTAAGGATACGAAGAATAGGAAGTGTAAAAGTCTCAGGTTTTCAAATACAGCCAAGGGATCTCCTCAGCATCTTGTCTTCAAACATGGAACAAAGACAACAAAGAAGCTGAGACAAAAAGCTTGCAATAGCTTATTTTTTGATGGCTGAGACTATTTTCTTGATAGACAGTATTCAAAGGCAATCACGGATGAAGATATCTCTTATTAAAGATGAACACATGATTTCTTGCATAAAAAAAGGAAGACTGCACCACAGAAAACTGTGGCATTGCTATAGGCAATCCGTATTGGCAGCTTTGTCATAGAAGTTACAAAAATCATAAACTGGAGTCTTCAAAGAAATCTGTGGAAAGTTTGTTGAAGTAATAATTTCAAAGCAGAGTTTCACTAAATATATCATTCCCTGTGCCACTGCCATTAATTCAAACCAGTGAAGTCCTGACAGTGAAAGCAGAATATACTGCAGTTTATGAGCCTTATCCTAAGTGGACCGTAATTTCCAGAGTAGAAGTCTTTCAATCTAAAGCCTTCTTCCGAGGAATTTGTCTCAGTGGCTATCAACTACATCTTGAGGTTTGTTATATTTGTGGAAGGCGATGCTTGTTATTTCCATAATCTTTAAACATGTGGAACATTTTTTTGTCAAGTTAAAATGCCTATTAGATTTCTTACCAATTTCTGCTTTGTCCTGGGAAGGAGAACAGTATCATTCTCCATGATCCAAGTGGCATCCTGCACCACTGCATTCTCTCTTCATTAGGGTTCTTTCTGAACCAGAAATGGAAAGGTTATCTACCTTGAGTAAGTGATGATGGTCTGTCTCCTCTTCCTCCTTCTAGCTCCTCTTTTTCTGTACTGGAATACCTGTGAAGTGGCTTAGAGGAGGAAGAGTAACTGAACCAGGAGAAAGCAGTAATTTGCCTCAGGAATGCCAGTTCAACTTTTGTGCCACTCCT